GTCAATAGACCTTTCTCAAACTTTATATACTCGATGAAATGACAGAGTCTAAAAATGAATAGAATCGTTATCGTTATATAACAAATACTTAATTATTATTTCGTTAAATGATTGTTAAAATGATAATTGTAGTTTAAATATCGCTCTACTACATATAAAGTAATTTCCTAGAAGTAAACAAATCTCAAATAGAAACGATTTTTTATTACGAAACTATAATGAATTATATTATGAAATTAACATTTTGATTACGACTATTACTTTATAATAATTATTTAGTTAATTACCATAGAAAAATTAATCGAATGTAATTCAAACGAAAATACTATTTTCTATAATTGATTAAAATTATTGAATATTCAATAATGATTTTATTAATCAATAAAATTAAATATTCTTGGTTAAAAGCTTCATAAAACTAAGTACATTGAACCAATTAAATTTATTTATCATAATATAAAAAAAGTAAATTTAATTAACATAAAAACTAAAATTTCAGAAATTTTAATTAATATTTTATTAATGACTATAATTAAAGTATTTTTTTAAAATACAATGAATATTTACTTTTAAATTAAAATGAATTAATAAGAATTATTTAATAATTTATTAATGCCTCTACATTATATTAACTTATAATCAAATAAATTATATTAAATTATACAAGTAATTAATAAACATAATTTATTTTCAAAATATTTCAAATAAATTAATATAATTTTTAATGTTATCAAACACAAAAAATAAGTATACGGTCAATTAATCTCTTATTTAAAAAAAAACTAGCATTATATATTAAAAAAACTTCGACGTTTATTAACTAATAAAAGAAGATAGTTAAAAAATTATGGTTGCTTTTTATTTTTTTAACGAAAACAAATTTAATTTTTGAATAAATGAATTATTTTTGTATGTTTTTATAGAGAATTATTTAAATGAAACTATAATTTTATTTTGTTTGATATAAGATTCGATCAATTTATATATTTTGTAAATATTTATTTAAAGAATTTTATATAATATATAATTATTATACGTAATATTATTCACATTAAAATAGCAATTCTTAAATAATTTTTGAATATTTATATTTATTTAAAAAATTCTAATTTAAGATATAATATCTGTTACGACTTATACAATGACATACTATGCCATTTAATACCATATTCTAAAATGTAAGAATATCATCTTTTCTATAAAAATTACGTTACATAGTGATTATTAGACGACGTAAATATGCTTTAATAAAATTATTATATGAATTATCTTATTAATACTATAAAAATAGATAAAAATCATATATAAAATTTATATATAGGAAATATATATTGAACAATATATATGAATTTTATTTAAACGAGACATTCAGGAGATATAAGAAAAAATGGGTACAATTCGAGAAGCATTATAAAGCTGTACATATTTTTACATACTCTACTTATGAAAAATTGGAATATTATTTCAAAGACTTTTCTTTATAAGTAGTAAAACTTTCAATAATTTTAATAATAATATATTTTGTTGTACAATAGACTCTCTTTTTTAAAATATATATCGTCGTTATGTACAATCGAACTTTTATACATCTTTAATAAAATAATAATAACTAACATGAACGTTAACATGTTGTTTTTTGTAATAAATTATCTTCTTAAAATGATATGATTATGTTCGAAAGTCATATCTGGCAAAAAACTATTTTTCTTTAGAATATTTTCTTACATAGATAAAGAATGATGACCACGGCAAGCAAAGAACGGGTTACTATTACTTACCTAGCTAGACTTAGATAAAATATTCTTCTACGTCATTGTCTTTCTAAATTTTAAGAAAATTATATTAGTATTCCAAGATATGCGAGAATTATTATGATGTAAAACAAAACAATAAATAACTTATAAAATAATATCTCTGAATAAAGTCAATATACACAAAATATTTATAACAAAATATAAAATATATATTACAAATTCATTTTTGTATAAGAATATTTAATATATGCTGTTAATCAACAAAAAAGTTTTGCTAAAAAATATAATTTTGAACGAAACTGGGTGATTGTCAAATTTATTGCGGTTTCTTTAGAAAACTCTTTCCGAGTTTAATATATTTTAATATGTTCATATCAAAATATATAAAAATTTGTATCGAATAACAAAAAATTGAGCTGATGTACTACTCTTTTCATTATAAACAAAAACTTCAAACATGCTTTCCTTCAAACTTTTTATTTTCGTTTTTGGAAGGTAACTTTTAAACTGAGATTCTGATTGATCAGAAAATATTTTTATATGTATAAAATATCTCATTATAGTATGAAATAGAAATAAAATTGCAAAAATTCAAATTTTACAACAAAAAAAAAATTTATCGACAATTTTTATAGCTAAATTAATAAATTTTAATTTTTTGAGATTTTACATAATAAATATACTTTTTTAAAGTTTATGTAACAAAAGTCATATTAATTCCTTCATTTTTCAAAATATCAAGAGCATACAAATTCTGAACTTCCTAAAAGCTAATAGTTTGGTAAATATTTAAATTTAAATATAAATGTGTCAGTGTGGAAGGGTAGATGGTTCGCTGGATGGACGTCTGTAGACTATTGCTAATTTTTTGAAAATCTCATGCACTAATTAACTTTGATTTTTTATACTGACTGATCTGTATGTAGTACAGCTTTTAAACAACTGAGTTTTTAGAATTCGTAAGCAAAAGGAAAAAAAATACTGTACATTTTATTTAGTGTTAAAACTATTGTATCAAAATATGATAAGTAAATTAAATCTAAAATTTTTAATAAATTATGAGGAACATATTTAAATACGTTAGCCTTTTTTTCAACGTAAATTCAAAATAATTTTAGAAATAAAGTTACATTAGTATTAGATTTTATTAATTATATAATATTATTATTAAGGAATAGAAATTGAACTGAATATTAAATATTAACTTTGAACTAAAAATCACTTTTATACAAGTTTTTACAATGAAATAGATTTTTAAAATACGAAATCTAACTATCACATCATCTTATGATACACACTGCCCCATAGAAAAAAAATTTCTTTTACTTTCTATGTCCCTTTCATTTAATATATTTTGACTGTCACAACAATTGAAGTTTATTTTTAAACTAGCGAATATAAAATACGCTAAAGGATTGTAATTGATATTTCACTTAGAATGTTTTTCATAACAATTTAAGGCTGATAAATTGAAGTTTAAGTATATCGAATTGTGATTAAGATTGTAATATGAAATAAAATTGAAATTTTTCGTAAATTTTAATATACCCAATATAAATAAATATAGTAAGTTAAAAATTAATTTATATATATTTATATCGGTTGATAAATTAAGGTAATAAATCAACAATATTGTATAATCTAGATATTAGAAAATTTTTGGAATTTTCAATTTTATATGCCTAATAAATTCAGCTAGTTCTTTGGCTGGCGAAGAATCCAATTTATTTTTTTACAAATGCAAGTGTAATATCGTAATGGGTCCAATGTCTCCACAAGCAGGGCCATAAAGTCCCCTCAACATACTGATGTCGAATGCCTGCATATCGCGGTACATTCGATCGAACAAGCCAAGCAGTCCAAAAAGTAGAATTTGTATTGACATCACTGACGATATTAAATGTTTCGTTTTGCAGGTGTTTGTATATTGAATTTATGAGCCGTCAACGTTATGCAAATTATAAAATGCTTACAGATATTTTATAATACCAATACACTGAGAAATTCCGTATTTACAATAGGAAATAAAGTATTTATAATTATATTTCTTTATTCTTTATTACAACATTTGGTTTACATAGTACTCTATACATAAACCGCATATTTGTTTAAATAATAATTTATTAATGATAGATGTATAAAATATAAAAAATAAATTTATAAATAAAGAAATAATATACAAATGCTATATAGTATATTGATAATGAACAAATATTAAAAGTATAATTTAACCTGAATAAATAGAGAGAAATTTTCTATTAATATTTTTATAATAGATGCAGATTTAGGAATTTGAGTTCGTTACGAATGTAATAAACGTATGTCATTTAACGTATCTATTTAGCTTAAAGGCATAAAATTTCAAGAATGCGTCTGGAATATCAGATTTTCTGATACTCATTGTATCTATAATTTACACAAATAATTTAATTCATTATCACTTGTCTATTGATTATTTTTGATTTTTTTTTTTTTTAAGAGGATCAAATTTTCATACACATGTGAATAATATATGAATTATAAGGCATCTTCATATTTATAAATACAGGAGTACGTATGGAACTACAATTATAATATAATGTTAGTTGCAATATATAACAGTTATTTATATAGTAATACTCCATAAAAAAAATCAATTATGTATGAATATTAATTAAAATCAATTGAAGCTAATTGAGTTTTAGAAGTTCTCTTCCTGACTCTCTGACTGTACATGCGCGCTCGGGTATATGACCACACATATTATTTAGGTTTATTAAATCATTGAATCACGCGTAATTTAATGTTTGGCCAATTCAAATTATTAATTAAGAATTACAATTATGTTTATTCTTATTATATAATATCAATGGACTTTTATACGGCTAATGAAATCTATTGTACAATCATTCTTTTTTCTAGTTTAATCGTATACTATAGACTATCTTACGTATCAACTATTATGAAATTTATTATCTTCATTGATATTATTTACTTAATATTATTCTTACGAGAGAAAAATAAAACTAAAAAGAATTTTCATCTTCGATGCAGCTCAGCACACACATTTAAGAATCTTTTATGTCGACTTTACTCTGGTATAATGAAAAGCCGAGCACACAACGTATTATAATTTAAATCGGATGATGAAAGAGATGAGAGACAAAAAAAGAACAATGAGCAAAGAAGTCTGAGGCTACATGTGTACGGGCCCAACTCCGGCATAGAATATTACAGGATCATAGAATAATATATGAATTTTCTTACCTTGGGCGCTTCTTGCAACGATTAGCTCCACTAGGCCCCGGGCCTTCTGGAGAATGGATATTGCTTGCTCGTGAGAGATATTGGAGTCCAGAGGCTGCCCATCTATCGCCAGTATTTGATCGCCTTCGACCAGTCGACCGTCACTGCGAACAAGAGGAGACAAGACGTTGAGTAACCGCCGTCGCGCATCGACACACAAACAGCTGCTTAAATAATAATCGTGTTGCACGCGAGGCCCGATGGAGTTTCGCGTGTAACGTTGGGGCGCACGCACGCATATATTGCGTAGTAGTACCCGCGCACTAGATCCCACTAGATACTCTACTGCTCCCATCCCCCTTTTTGCATTAGTATACATTTGTATATATACACACGGACATAGAGACCGCCGCGTAGATAATGTCAGAGCTTTCACGCGGTTAATGCTCCACTTGGCCGTTTCCTGCCCGCGGAAAAATCGTGTCCAGTTCCACGGTAGTTGCCCACTATCGATCGATAGCGTCAGTTCATACGGCTGTTATAAGAGCCACCGCTCTTGGCTTTACCGCCTGAAAATGACTACGTATGTATGGATGTGCGCGGGCGAGCTTGCCCACATGTATGAGTAAGCATGGCCGTGCGCAATCAGTTTATCGCTGTGGCGACTGACAAATTTTCATTTCATTTTCAAATATGATTGCGGAAACTCAAGTTACAGATAACCTATTATAATCAATATTCAAAGGAATAATTTTTATTTTTCATACAACATTTGGTACTAATAATAACACTGGCAAGAAGTAGTAAGTGTAAATCGATGAACAACAGGACTAGTGATCGAAATAAGATTCAATGCGTCTTGTTTTAAGTACGCTTTGCATAAATAAACTATTAGTAATCGAGAATCGTTTTACAAATAAAATACCCATGAATATAGTTAGTATAACTTTGACCACTGAAAAAATAAGAACTCGCGATAGAAATTAGAATTCATATTAAGTAAAGTGTAAGATTTACGATTAATTTAATAATTACATTTACTACGAGATACTGCTTATTTATAAATCTGTATTAGTATTATAATTTTATTAAAATATACGAAGATATAAATAAAATTTCACAAAATAATCATTTAATTGGGTAAGCATATTTTAGTTAGTAAAATAATGCCAATTTATAAAATTAAAAGTTATATATATAACTCAAATCTAATAGTACTTCAATCGTATTGATGAATGGTACATGGACAATTTAAGTAAATCAGTTTATTTCTATTATATAGTTTACTTTATTGCATTAGATGAAATTTAGAAGCAACAAAATACTACATAAATAAGATTCAATGTTAAAAATATCATTTATTAATAACTAATAAAACATATGTCACATCAAATTTCTATCGAAATTGCAAAAAAAGATAATTGGAATTAACATTCAACCGCACAAAAAATATAATTGAAACCATTTTGATTTTAAATCATATTATTTTTAAAATAAGAATTGAAATCAATTTAAAAATCTTTTAATCAATAATTTTTCAAGCATAAACCGAAAAATCTGTAGAAGCTATTGAAATATATTATTTTATTTTTATTCAATATTTTCCTTAAAATACTCTTTAAAATCGATAGGAATTTTTCATAAATTTATAGTTTTTTTTTTTTAAATACTAATAATCCTACGTAAATTAGTTGACGTATAATATACACGTATACCATAATACATTTGAATCACATGAAATAAGTATCTCCTTTGTACACGTACCTGTATTCACTACAAGTAGATTAAGCAAACTGTCTTTATTAAAATATGAAATTAACATTAATTATGATACCAGTATCGAAAAATGTCAATTACAAGTTATTAATCATATAATGTATATACAAGCTTTGGTATTACAGTATAATTTGATATAAACTAGTTTACCGCTTGCATTATTTTAATTACATCATTAGAGCATCTAATATTTTGTGCAAAGTAGAATTATCGTCTATGTTCAAAAATTAATGCGCGTGTGGGCATATAACAAATCACAAAAAAATCTGTTGCGCGAAATGGTTCCATTTCTTGTGCTACAATAGGGAAATCGTGCAGTTGCATGTCACACTCCTTCGAATCCATAAATAACGCAGATTATTAGTCAGAGTGCGCTTGATTTTCCACGAAAACATTATGCAGAAATGTGGCTATTTTGTAAATTAGTAGCAGAGTAAGCGAAAATAGCTTTATTTTATACTGGATTTGTAAGCAAATAAGAAAAGATGATGCAACATCATCATTTCATACGAATAAGATCTAAGATTGAAACTAATTAATTTTAAATTTGGTCGAAAATTGTAATTATTACGAGAAAAATTACGTCAGAAGAGAATAATTTCGGAAGTCTTTTTATATATTCGAAAAAACTATGTTTACGTTCAAACTTTTCAATTTAACATATTTAATAAAATATATAATTCTGATATTTTATTTTTCAGTTTTTTTTTTCTTAATTCTTACACGAATATATATTAATAAAGAACGTAACAATATTTATAGTTATGAAATTGCCATCTCATTCATCGGCAAAGCTTGCTTCATTTCAATGATTTAACTCCAGTTACTTTTCCTATGCATATTTTAAAAGGTTACAGGAAAGTCAATTGTCTTTCTTTTTATCCTTTTGATATTCAGTTTGGCCACAGGAGCGGTATAAGGAATTCAAAAACGAAAGCTAAAATGAGAAACTGAGAAACGTTTGATTTGCTGTTAAATATCAGAAGGAATTCCTCATTCCGCATTTACTTCATAAACCTACAGCTGTCGTAGAAAAACAGATTAAAAGTCTCAAAAACGTTCAATAAATAATTGTTTTAATATTAACAGTTACAATATTAATAGTAATATTGAATGTAAAAGTGTTATTCTTATAATAATATTTTTCAGCGATAAATAAATGTACAGAGTTAATATTTTACATATATAAGAACTATACATAAGAATATTCTTCAACTATTGAAAAGGATTTCCATTGAGATTAATAAAAATAAATAGAACACAATTTTTTTTTTATTAATACTCTAAATATTGTAGAGCTGATGCAAATTGGGGAATTCGACCCGTTCATCTCGAATGTAAAGATTTGCAGGTTAATTCTAGACTGTTATAATGGGAATTCGTATTCCTAGGATTTCCGTATTTTTCTAATCATATTACAGTGTTCCCAATGAACTCAAGCCAATCACTGCGCTATCTCGCATATTTTCTTTAGTATCAACACAGTAAACGTAAATACACGTAACAGCATCGACAGTCAGGTTTTCATATGGCTCGGCTTGCGACGAAGTCCTCGATTTACGACTCCATTTTGCTTTTAATGATTCGTTCGCTTGGCAAACAGTGCTTCAGAGGGCTCTTTGTTTTTGTTCCGTTCGTCAGAGAGTGCGGCAATGTTGTGTGCAATGCGCCAGCGCCGTCTCTATTTTCAGTAAAAGCCACCGGCGGGGACCAGCATCGTGCAGCCAAGGAGCGAGGGAGAGTGGGGTGAAGGCGCGAGGAAGGGAGTCGTAACGAGTGCGGTACCTTCTCCGTGCCCGATTTTATACGAGAAGTGAAGGCGCGATGTCGCGATTACTGTTTCTTTCTTCCGAGCAATCGCGCCAATATAATTATCGGAAGGAAGGGAGTTTAGAGAGAGAGAGAGAGAGAGAGAGAGAGAGAGAGAGAGAGAGAGAGAGAGAGAGAGATGATTTTTTATGCGAGTGTTTTCCTAGCTCTCAGTATGCGTCCAAATGAAACACAAATGAAACTTGAGCATCAACGTACCATACACGAAAGAGGTGGCAGACTGTACAATTGCGAAAATTCAGTCGATGACTTTGATGAATGTCAAGTGGTACTTAGCCTCGCTCTTGTACCTCGTTATCGACGCTTGTTCGAAATGGCAAGAGTCGCGAACTACTTTATTCTTTTCCTCGTCCTATCGAGAAGTTCCCAAGCTATCGGGTCAAGTCTACAAGTACCATCAATTGACTTATTTTTCAATGATTTTGATTAATTACCAATTATTAAATCGCCTTTTCTTTTTCATTGATTTATGTATGAATTTTAATTGCTTGGCAACTTTTAAAAATGTAAAGAGATCTCTTCTATTAAGTTTTCCATTTATAACTTAATTTTAAAAGCTGTAGACACGTAATCGAAACAAACAATTTTGTTACTTTTTAAGATCAGCTTCAATCTTCATATTTTGTGTGGAATTTGACAATTTTTTTTTTATTACATTGCCATTTATATAGTCAAAGTTTCGGATGCCAAGACTTTATAATCTTTATAATATTGGTAAAAAACATTTTTTGTGCTGAAAAGTACATTCTAAAGCCATATGCTAATTGTACAACAGATGTTGTAGTACAATACGATAAAACATCGATTCTAAAAATTATAAAAGTTTAAAAATAAGTTACATAACCTAAGCTATAAGACAAAGCTACTAAAAAGTTGAAAGACAATTTTCATAAAATCAAATTACATGAACTTCGGTCTGTATAGGAAAATGAAGTCATAAAGCACGTAATTTGAGTTTTCAAATAATAGTTGAAAATGTACTAAAGTGCTTTAAATTAGAATACAATTTAAACAATTGAAAATTTTATTTTTTTCCGGTTAATAAAATTTATACGATGCTATCTGCTTTATGAACTTTTATCTTTCAGTTCATCAATTTAAATTTCATACTCAGAATAATTTGTTTCTGAAATCACAAATTTCCAAATTAGAGAGTTATGGTAGTGTGATAGAATACACAGTTGTACTACTTATTTATTTCAGTCGACAATGACTAACTTGATTCACGAATGTTATTATTTATTTATGTGTGAAATATTTTCAGAAGAATTTGTTTAAAAACATCTGAGACTATTTTTATTAAAATACTAAAAATATTTGTATCAAAAAATGAGGAAAAGCTTATAAAAGATCAATATTATTATTTTTGGATATTGATTGTGAAAACTAAATACAGAATTTGAATTTAGTTTTCATAATGAAATGGCTCGTCTTTATTAAAATATCTTTCGAATGCAAAAATCATCGTATTCAAATTGTCACATTGTTCTTAAAGCAAAAGGAAACTTAAATGGATCAATTTTTCGAAAGAAATGAATCGAATATTGAAATTTTGTAT